GTTTCAGCGGCGGCTGAATCAGGAACAGCTGGGGTGCTGCTGGGTTGGTCCCGCAGCCCTGAGGGGCAGCGCTAGGGGACCTACCTGGAGCCCCCCCAGCTGCTCTGCCCCCAGCTTCCCCGATTCAGCTGCTGGTCAGTTTCAGCAGCAGCTGAATCGGGGAAGCCCGGAGCAGAGTAGCTCCAATGGTCCAGCTGCCTGGAGCACTTCCGGGTTCCTTATGGTTCCAGACCATCAGGAGTGCCGGACCATCAGATGCCGGACCAGTGGAGTTTTACTGTATATAGCAAAATAAATCAGCTTGGAATTCTGCATGGCATAATAAAACAAAACTACAAGTATAGTGCTACAGGTTGAAACTCTCTTAACCGGGATTCTCTGGTCTGACAACATCCGTGGTCAGGCAGGACTGTGTAAGTTCCAGGGCCAGAGAGTCTCAGTGGAGACCTAGTGCCTGTGAGCCCTGCAGACTGGCAGGGCAGTGGGACCCCAATGTGCTCTAGCAGGGTTTCCCACCAGTGGGAGTCCCATGTGTGATAGTGAGGCTATCCAGTAGGGCAGCGGGAGCCTGATGTGCAGAGGCTGTGGGACTGCCTGGTAAAACAGCAGGAGCCCAGCGCAGCAGTGAGAGCCTGGTTCATGTAGAGATGGTGGGGCTGCTGGGCACTGCAGCGAGAGCCTAGCAAGCGGAGGCGGCGAGGATTTTCTGGTGGGGCTGCCCGGTAGGGCAGCGGGGGTCAGAAAGAGGGGGGAGCCGGCTGGGAGGTTTGGCAGTGGGGCAAGGTCTGGAGAGAGCTGCTGGCTGGGGGGCCAGAAATGACCTCCCCTGGTCCGGCAAAATCCCTCATCAAAATTCCAAGGGTGCTGTACCAGGGAGGTCCAACTTGTAATAATTTGAACTTACTGTTGTAAGGTAAGGTGTAACAAAACACTCTAAATGCTTATTAAAATGGATTGTAATGTTCCCTTCAATCCTTGTTTTGTCTGAACAGCAATCACAAGCATTTAACATATTTATCACCCTTATTAAACTGTGAAATAATTCAATAGGTTTTTTTGGTTTCAAAATTCTGCCTAGCTTTAATATGTTACCTTTGTTACTATATGGGTATGTCTACACTTGCATCCTCTTTCGAGAGAGAGATGCAAATGAAGACATTCAAAATTGCAAATGAAGCCGGGATTTAAATATCCCGTGCTTTATTTGCATAATTGCGTTATGGTGCTATTTCAAAATAGAGCTATTTAGAAATAAGAGACGCTGTTAAGATGCAGTTATTTCAAGAGAAAACCCTTCTCTCGAAAATAACTGGTAAATCTCACATTGTCTGAGGAATAAGGGTTATTTAGAGAGAAGGGTTTTCTCTTGAAATAACTGCATCTTAACAGCGTCTCTTATTTCTAAATAGCTCTATTTTGAAATAGCACCATAACGCAATTATGCAAATAAAGCACGGGATATTTAAATCCCGGCTTCATTTGCAATTTTGAATGTCTTCATTTGCATCCCTCTCTCGAAAGAGGGTGCAAGTGTAGACATACCCTATGACAAGTTCACAAGTAACTATGTCTTTGCTTTTGTATGGCCTCTGTTTTGTAAATATTTATGTATAATTGGACTCGTGTATTTATAATTATGCTTCAAAATGCACCCTATTCTTTTCCATGCACGTGCCTGTTCATAGGCTGCAAAGTTGGACAACTACATGGGAAACATCTTCTGCTATTTAGGCCATTACTATAGAGATGTAGCTGGAGAAAAAAGCAGAGCCCGTGGCTGCTATAAAAAGGCTTTTGAACTTGATGGAACTGATGGAGTAGCCGGAGCAGCAGCTGTAGACTTAAGTGTGGAACTTGGAGACACGGTATTTCATATCTAACATTCTTTGAGCTTTTATGGCCCAATTTGAAGTGACTTGTAGAAAAAGTGATTTTCTTGTTAAAATAAGTAGAAATTTTCAACTGGACATTTGGTATCTTCATTGCTTAGTAATGTTATAGCTTCAGGCCTGCTTGACTTCTCCACTTATAAATATTGATTAAGCTTTCTGGGAGAAGAAAACTTGGCATAATATTTCCAAGGCCAAGAACTAGTATGATTTTTGGGGGTGGGAGGGTTAATTGGTAAACATGAAAACTTCATAAGCTTCAGAGGGGTAACCGAGTTAGTTTGTAACAGGAAAAACTTAAAAAACACATATAGTCTAATAGCACCTAAAGACTAACAAAACATGTAGATGGTATCATGAGCTTTCATGGGCATGATCTACTTCTTCAGGTGACAGGAGTATTAGAAGTCCAGATCCAAGAATAAATAAAGGAAGGAAGGCGGGGGGAGGGAGAAGGAAAAAAAGGAGGGAAAGAAGAAAAAAAAGAGACAGTGGGTAGATAGTTCAAATAGTTACAAGAGGCTGATAAGAAACATTAGCACCTCCGTTGTTCGTTTGGTTGGTTAAGTCATTAAGATGTGGAAGATAGTGTGTGAGACATGAACTACTTCAAGACCAGCCAAAAAGAGAAAACAACAGAATTCTACTTATCACCTTTAGTCCACAACTTAAACCCCTCCAATGCATTATCAACAATTTGCAACCTAACCTGGAAAATGATCCCTCACTGTGAGGCCTTGGGGGAAAGGCCAATCCTCAGACAACTCCCTAATCCAGAGGTGGGCAATAATTTTTGACGGAGGACCACGCCAAGATTTTGGAAAGTGGTCGAGGACCACACTCTTCCATGATATTAATGGAGATCTGGAATGGAGGTTGGGTGTAGAAGGGAGCTTGGAGTAAGGGAATGGAGTCTGGGAGGGAGTTGGGATGAATCAGGCGGTTGTGACCTAGGGCAGGGGACTAGAGTGCGGGGGTTTAAGATGTGACCTAGGGTAGGAGGGGATTGTGATCTGGGGCAGGAGATTGGGGTGCCAGCTCTGGCAGGGGGTATGAATGGAGATCTGGAATGGAGGTTGGGTGTAGAAGGGAGCTTGGAGTAAGGGAATGGAGTCTGGGAGGGAGTTGGGATGAATCAGGCGGTTGTGACCTAGGGCAGGGGACTAGAGTGCGGGGGTTTAAGATGTGACCTAGGGTAGGAGGGGATTGTGATCTGGGGCAGGAGATTGGGGTGCCAGCTCTGGCAGGGGGTATGAAAGTAGGAGGGGGGGGGACAGGATTTGGGTATGTTGGGGGGGGGGCAGAGATGGGGGGGGGGGGGACAGGGTGTTGGGTTGGTGGGGGGGGGGGCAGAGAGTTGGGGCATGAAAGGGCTGCAATGCCGGAAGCAGGCTGTGGCCAAGAGACTTATTTGTCAGCTGCGAAACTTGCTTGCCTGCAGAGCTTAAAATGTTTCCCAGCCAGCCTGCTTGCTGGCCATGTGCTTTATGAATATCAGAGCCCAGGATAGAGGGCATAATTCTTCTTAGCTGCCTGTTATTCTAACAGGCAGCTCCCATTGTCTGGTTTCTGCTGGAAACCCGCCAATGGGAACGTGTTGAGGTGGGATGGCTCCTAAAACGTCCTCCCTCCCTCCAGTTTCAAAATAGAGACGGAGCCCTGCAGCTGCATTTCTGCACAGCATGCGGGGCTAGCAGAGAAGCCTGCTGCCTCCACGAACTGGATCCCGTGGTTTGGCGGGCCGAATCCGGCCCTTGGGCCATATTTTGCCCAGGCTTGCCCTAACCTCAAACAAATTCTTTCCAATAACCTTACAACACAGCTCCATCATAATTATCCAGGAACCCACCCCTGCAATCAGCCCCGATGCCAACTTTACACATTTACACAAGCTATGTCATCACTGGACCCAATCACATCAGCCACAAAATCAAAGGCTCATTTATCTGCACATCCACTAATGTGATCTATGCCATCAAATGCCAACAATACCCCACTGCCATGTACATTGGCCAAACTGGACAGTCTCTATGGGAGAGAATTAATGATCAGAAAGCCAGAAAAGCAATACACAAAAACCTGTTGGAGAACACTTTAATCTATCTAGACACTCAATAATGGATCTCCAAGTCACAATTTTGTTTCAGGCAAATTCCGCAAGCCAAATATACAGAGAAGGATTAGAACTTAACTTCATTTACAAGTTTAATTCTTATGCAAATGGTATGAACAAGGACATGGGCTGGCTCACACACTATCTTCCACATCCTATGACTTAACCTACCAACCAAACAATGGAGGTGCTATTTGTTCTTATCAGCCCGTTGTAACTATTTGAAAGATCTACTCAGCGTGTCTCACTTTTTATTTTTTTTCTCTTTTCCCACCTCCTTTTTTTTCTCTCCCACCCCTTTCCCTTATTTATTCTTGGATCTGGGCTTCTAATACTCCTGTCATCTGAAGAAGTGGGTTGTGCCAACGAAAGCTCATGATACCAACTACACGTTTTGTTAGTCTTTAGGTGCTACTAGACTATTTGTTGTTTACGTTTTTCATGAAAACTTCGTCAGCCATACAGACAACTTAGTCAAACAATCCAAAACATTCTCCTCCAGAATATTTATTTTAGATGGACTTCTTGGCCTTCGTGTGTTAACTATTGTAGCCATTTTTTAATGCTGTTGTTAATAATTTTACCAAACCAATATAGAAGTCTGAAATCTCAGACATAGGGTCAATTACTATGGTTTTTAATATTTCTGCTTGTAGTAGGGATAATAATGATCTTTCAATAATGGTGGTAATATTTTTTGTTTCCCAACTCCCAAGAGATGTCATATGTATCTGCCTGTTCTACTTGAAGTAGATTAAACAATTAACAGGGGGAAGTTTGAAAAATAAACTCTTTCAAATATTAGAAATTTGTATTGTACTTCAGTGAACTGCAATGCCTTTCTTTAAAAGGCATGAGTTATTTGAGTCTAATGTTCTTATTAAATGTTCAGTTTTCTAATGTACAAAAGCATCACCATCTTTTCTGTCAGAAAATAAACACTCACTCTGAACCTGTGCTTAAGTTTAATCTGGACTTCTAGATCTTTAATGGGTCTCCCCCTCTTTTCCCATCCCTCAAACAATTATGGGTCAATTTTCAGCTCTAAACACTTCTGGTCAGACAAGACTCATCTGAGATTCAAACAAATTGAATTTAGACTGTTGAGTTAATATTATAGCAGCTAGAATTTTCAGTGGAACTTTTGAAGTGAACCCACGTTTTAGTTGATGTACATCTCCAACAGACATCAAAAGCAGTGATGGTTAGCAGAGTCCATGGAGGAAAGAGATAAATTGTTCTTCCTTTCCTCTGTAGTAACTTCTGTGTTGTGGTATGGTCAGTTGATAGGATGTTTTATAATGGTCTACTCCTATCTCTTTCCCCTGTCCTCCATCTTCTGTTTGCCTTACTTTAAGGGATCTGATTAAAGAGGGGTATACAAATATTTAAGATCAATTTATGTAAGCCAGTCTCCTTATTCCCTTTGTGAAAGAAATAACACAGCTAAAACATGGCCCGTTCCTAGACAATAGTCCAGAACTACTGTCTGGTATTAGAATGATCCCAGATGCATATATAGGGTTTTGTTGTTGTCATCCTGTTAAAGTAACTGACCCAGGTTTCCAATACTTTAGTAGTAACTAACTTCGTTAGTCAAATGCATGGAATCCCAAAGATTTGTTCTGTTTATATTGTGTGTACATATAAATGTAACATAATGTATCCAATCTGATATTTTTGGATTTTGTTAGGAGACTGCTCTGGCAATCTTGTCTGCAGTAACTGAAAGAGCAAGTGCTGGTACAGCAAAGTGGGCCTGGCTTCGTCGTGGACTTTACTACCTGAGAGCCGGTCAGCACTCTCAAGCAGTAGCTGAGTAAGTGAACTAGTACTTGAGTTTAACCATTAGCCACCCAGTGCAAGTTAAATAGTTTATTCTCTAAAATAGCGGGTAATAAGAGGTCTGTGAGCCATATGTGGTTCTCCAGGTTAGCTCCTGGAGGGTCACCAGATGTTTATTTTCCTTAGCATCCACAGGTATGGCTGCTCTTCATTCCCATTGGCCCTAGTTTACTGTTCTTGATCAATGACAGCTATGAATGGCCATACATGTGGATGTTCAGATAAATAAAGCATCTTCTGAGTACTAACCCTGGTGAACCACATCTGGCCTTCATGCTGCTTATTGCCCACCCCAGCTCTAAAATCTACTTTGGTCAGAGTGTAAAATAACAAAAAAGCAATCTCCCTATTAACGGAATTGACTTACTTTTTTATTATTGCCCTTCTTTCGCAGAAAAACTTATGCTTGAGAGCTGTAGTCAGAAATCAAATTTAATTGAGATAATTTATAAAACTTCGTCTCCACAGGATTTTGAGCCACAATTTGAAGCTTAATATTTTGTATAATGTGCTATATAGGAGGATGAAATTTTACATAAGAAAAACTTAAAAGTTATATCACTTTTATGTTTTGTTTTAATCTGTGTCTCTAGTCAAAATGGATACATTTTCTGCAAGGCAGAGATTTTGTATTTTAAATTGACTAACGGTCTGCTTTATGATGTTTTTTGATATGTTCAGCTTGCAGGCAGCTCTAAGGGCAGATCCAAAGGACTCCAACTGTTGGGAGTCTCTAGGTGAGGCATACCTGAGCAGAGGTGGCTATACCACAGCACTGAAATCCTTCACAAAGGCCAGTGAGCTGAATCCCGAATCTCTGTACAGTATTTACAAGGCTGCATCAATTGAGCAGATTCTAGGAAAATATAAAGACGCTATAGCAGAATACCAACAAATCTTAAAGAAGTCAAAAGAATATGTACCTGCACTCAAAGGTAATAATGATGGATTGTAAACTTTGTATAAGATTGAAATACCAAGTTATAAATCAGGAAATGCTTGCACTGTATAGAGAGGCGAAATAACTTTGACCAACAAGCAGAACTCACTGGGCACTAGCAGACAAAATGGTAGATATTTTTGAGTCTTAACAGGAAACGGTAAGTCACTCTGCTGCTCAAAGATAAAGTAACTGTTCTATTTTTTTTTTCAGGCCTGGGTGAGTGCTATCTCATGATGGCACGGGCTACACTTGCAGACTACCTTGATGGGAAAGTTCTAGATTACATAGAACAAGCACTTGAATATTTTACACGGTTAGTACTTTATGTTCAAGTATGGTAGTTTTAATTAAGATTCTGTGTTTTCTTAATTAAATTTGGGATAAATGCATAGTAAACTAATCTAGCATTAAATTTAATTTTATATTTTTATAAAATAGCAAGAACAATTCATTTTGTTTTCACATCACAAAGAGAGAATATAATATTTTAACGATTGATAGGGTTGTGTTTTAAATCTATTTTTGTTGTAGTGTGAAGAGACTGATTTAAAGAGCACCAATGACATACATGCAGAGGGAGGCTGGAGAGAACTATGTGGAAACATAATCACTACTAAAATTGGGAGCAGGAAGTGGGTTTTTTTCCCCTTTGTGTGTGTTTTCTCCCAGTCTTTTTCTATGGTCCTTTCAGTCTTCACTGATCCAGTACTCCAGACTAGACTTGAGGGTGATTTACCTTGTGTTAGTTGGTGAAACATGCTCTCATTTCTCAAATTTATGACTTAAAATTGTCTTTGATTTTAAATCCTACATTATGATTGAAGACTTTTGTCTGATTCAACCAAGTTTAATCTTTGACTAATAATTAGTAAATAAGATGTTATCCCACCTTACTAACAACTGACACTCCAAGCCAGTGATCAGTTGTCTAAGCAGCACTCATTGCACCTGGGCAGCATGCAGGCTGGAGGAAGAGAGCCCTGAGCACTCTGAACGCATTCTAGTTATGTACTCCTGTTGCCTAGCAACACTTCTTCTTCGCGTGATTGCTCATGTTCATTCCAGTATAGGTGTGTGCGAGCAGCATGCACGCGCTGTCAGCAGTGTCCTTAGGGCCAGCAGGGAGCCCCGTGGAGTGGCGCCAGTATATCGGCCCATATATTTCCCTGCTGGTCCCCTCACCCACTCAGTTCCTTCTTACTGCTGTGATGGTCATTGGAACAACCCTCAGCTCGTCTTCAAGTCGTTCTCTTCAGTGTTCTTCTCTTTCATTAGCAATCATCTGTTAAGTACCTGTTAATTTAGTTAAAGTCTTTCAATTGTAGTTTTCTTTTTACCCCGCTGTGGCACGCTGTGCACCCACGGCAACGCATGCCCGGCCTGCAAGGCTTTAAGCCCTACAAGAAGTGCAACAAGTCTATGCCGTGTGGTGACCCACACTCATCGTGTTTGAAGTGCCTGGGAGAATTGCACATTACAGACGCGTTCAAGATTTGTAACCAAACGAGAGCGTGAGTCGTGACTCAAGGCGCTCCTGATGGAGGTGGCATTCTGGCTGGCACTGGCACAGGACTTGGCACCGAGCTCCAGCAGCGCACCGGCTTCGGTGTGTGACAGCTCTGCACACCGTGCCTCCTCGGTACCGCACAAGGCCAGATGTTGCTCCCAGTTGCCGGTATTGATACAGAAGAGGAGGCCTAATAGGGGTTGGTCCCTGCCTAGGCATGCACCCTCCGTGTGCTCTACAGTGGGACACATGGTGCCAGCCAGTCCAGAGTCCAGGCCTCCTAGTTTGGGTGATTACTCTTCCCACCGGAGGGATGTGAGTCCTTCAGAGGATCTCTCAGACCCATCCACCCGGAGGCCTTGGAGGCAGCAAGGATCTTTATAGACTCCTCTCTCTCCCCTCCGCCAACTCCAGCACCCTCATGACGGCACGGGGATGCCCAGAACTGCTTCCCTTCTAGGGTGCCCGGCAAAACGGTGCACGAGGTGCAGCAGACCCTTGTGGCACATGTGGCACCTCCCCCGGCACTGGCTACCATCATGCAGGTGCCGTTGGCCCCCGGCAACAAACATGGCACCAGACACGACGCGGGTTACTTACCCCGCACCGCTTCCGACCCCCGGCACCGCCACACCTACCATCAGGGACCCTGTCTCGGCCATGCCTCCTCCTCCGCCCCAGCACTGCGGCAAGCTGGAAACCATATCTTGGGATGCCGCAGGACAATAAGCATCGGCATTGGCACCGCCCTGGTTCACCTTGGAGTACTCCTCCTATTCCAACGCAGAGTCTGCATGGTCTTCACAGGGCTCTCGATCCCGTTCACAGCACTGCTCCCACTCCTGGCACCAGTCCCGGCACCGTACTTCCCCACTTCGGTACCAATAACAGTGGGCTCAGCTGGTCCCCGTACTGATGGTCTAGCAAACGTGGCCTCCCCAGCCACTTGGGCAGTGGCCTTTATGGACCCTCTGGGCCTACCATCTGGGCCAGGGTGTGAACTTTCCTAGACCTAGGTTTCTGTCACGTCATGTCCACAAATCCCTCCATCGGCGACTCCTTTGGGCTGGTTCCCCCCAGTTGTCGCCAGGCCCAGGGGAGAGCATGGCTCCGGTGAGCAAACCTCTCCTCCCTCCCTCCGTGGCCACTTCAGACGATCCAGGCCGTACAGACGCCCCTGTGGGCTTTATGGCAAAGGGGTCATCGTCCTCTTCCCCAGATGAGGCTCTGGCCAACTCTGCACCCTCCGTGGATGCAAGAGCCCACTGAGACCTCCTCCACCACCTAGCCCAAAGTCTGGGAGTCCAGGCAGACAAGGTCTCTGAGGACTCTGACCCAACCATTAACATCTTGCACGTAGACACTCCCTCCAGAGTGGCGTTGCCGATCAACAAGATGGTAGCCAAGATTTCGGCAGCCTTGTGGCAAACCCCGGTGTCCATTCCGCCGACTGATAAACGTGCAGAACGGAGGTATTTTGTCCCTTGGGCGGGTAACGAACACCTCTTCTCCCACCTTCCCCCGGGTTCTTTAGTAGTTCAGGTGGTCAACCAGAGGGAGAGGCAGGGACAGCCCGCAGCCACCCCTAAGAACAGGGAGGCTAAAAAGACAGACTTACTGGGCAGAAAGGTCTACGCATCCGGGGGCATCCAATACCAAATTGCTAACCAACAAGTTCTTCTGTCCAGATACGCCTACAACACCTGGCTGTCAATGGACAAGTTTACGGACCTGCTCCCCAGAGACTCCTGTGCGGCGTATAAGGCCCTTCAAAAAAAGAGGAAAGTAATTTCCCGAACGGCGTTACAAGCAGCACTCAATGTGGCTGATGTGGCTTCATGAGTCATGGCCACTGGAGTGGTCCTGCGTTGCAGTCCATGGCTCCGGAGTGCCTCCGGAAGTCCAAAACACCTTACAGGACCTCCTTTTCGAAGGCACGTCGGTCTTCTCTGAGTAAACTGACCAGCGGCTGCATGGCCTGAAGGACACGAGAGCCACATTAAAGTCCTTGGATTTACACACACCTGCCACCCAGAGATGGTCATATACCAACAGGAATGTTCCTGGACTACCTCTACAGGGCCCACTATCTGACGTAGGGGCAGGGGTAATAATGGCAGGAACAACAGGCATTGCTCTCGCCTAAGCCCGGATTCTAACCAGGGGTCCCCCAATAAGCTCCCCGGGCCCCCTGAGGGCTCCTTACCAGTCTCCCCATTACTCTTTCGGGACCGTTTATCCCATTTCCTCCAGGCCTGGTGCTGTTACATTGGACCAATGGGTTCTGGAGATAGTGGAAATGGGTTATGTAATCCCTTTCCACTCGCCCCCTCCTTTCCAACCCCATGTCCCATCCCTTTTCAGGGACCCCTCTCATGAGCCTCTGTTACAGGAGGAGGCTCACCACCTTCTCAACTTGGGGCGGTAGAACGAGTTCCCCTTGAATTTCAAAAAGGGTTTTTATTCTCACTACTTTCTGGTCCCAAAAGCAAAAGGAGGCCTTCGCCCAATCCTGGACCTCAGAGCTCTAAACCTCTTCATTGTCAAGACAAAATTCAAAATGGTGACTCTGGCGTCCATCATTCCTTCCCTAGCCCCCAGAGACTGGCATGCTGCCCTCGACTTATTTTCCTGTTTCAATCGCCCCTTTCCACTGAAGATTTCTGTGATTCACTGTGGTCCAGGACCACTACCAATTCACGGCCCTTCCCTTTGATATTTCTATGGCCCTCCCAGGTCTTCACGAAATGTATGGCGGTGGTGGTTGCTGAGGTCAGAAAAAGGGGAGTCCAAGTGTTCCCTTACTTGGATGATTGGCTCCTCCCAGGGCAGTTGGAAACTCAGGTGAGAGACCACATCGCCATAGTCCACGAACTTTTTTAAGAACTGGGTCTTCTTTTAAACCTGGACAAATCCAACTTAACTCCTACCCAGACAATAGAATTTGTGGGTGCGACCCTGGATTCCCGGTCTCAGAGAGCCTCTTTACCCAGCCTCCACTTTCTCATGCTACAGTCGGCGGTCAGGTCGCTCCAGAAGTTTCCAGTGACCACCACCCGGGCTTGCATACATCTATTGGGCCTCATGGCCTCCTGAACTTATGTAGTGCAACATGCCAGACTGCGCATGCTCCTGCTTCAGATGTGGCTATCGCGAGTCCACAACCTGGTTGTCCACTGCTGGGACAGAGTGTTAACCATCCCCACCCCTGTCCTCCTTGCACTGGAGTGCTGGACCCATCAAGCGGAAGTCTGTGCAGGGGTCCCATTCTTGTCAGGCCAGTCCCATCCATCTGACTGGTCACAGGCGTGTCGGACATGGGTTGAGGAGCCCACCTGGGAGAGCTGCACACTCAAGGGACGTGGTCCCCCTGCAAAACCTCCCTGCATATCAATGTCAGAGAACTCAGGGCGGTCCAACTGGCTTGTGTGGTTTTCCTTCCTCACCTGAGGGGCAAGACGGTCCTCATCCTGTCAGACAACATGACAGCGGTGGCCTATATAAACAAGCAGCGCGGGGCTCGTTCATCTTGCCTGTGCTCAGAGGCGATCAGCCTATGGGAACTCTGCATCGGGGCGGATATCCACCTGATGGCCTCTTATCTCCCGGACTCACAGAACATCCTAGCGGGCTGATTGAGCAGATCATTTGCGAGCCATGAATGGTCCCTGTGTTGGGACGTTGCCCGATCCATCTTTCGCGTGTGGGGGTTTCCCCATCTGGATCTGTTCACCACAGGGCAGAACACGAAGTGCCACCACTACTGCTCCCTCATGGGACAGGGATGGGGTCCTTAGGGGATGCTCTCCTCCTCCGCTGGCCACAAGGCCTGCTGTATGCCTTCCTGCCCTTCCCGCTAGTTCACAGGGTCCTATTGAAAGTATGGGAGTTCAGGGCATCATTAATTCTAATTGCCCCAGCATGGCCCAAACAGCATTGATTTTCGACCCTCCTCGACCTCTCATGCGAGAGGCCTGTAACCCTCCCACTAGTCCCGGGCCTGATATCCCAGGACTCGGGCAGACTTCACTACCCAGACCTCCGGTCCCTCTACTTGACAGCATGGAAGCTCCATGGTTAACGGCAGAGGAGCTCCAGTGCTCTCAACGAGTCCAAGAAGTCCTTCTGGGTAGCAGAAAATCTTCCACTAGAACTACGTACCTCACTAAGTGGAAGCGATTTTGCTGTTGGGCTTCTCAGAAGGGAGTACACCCGAGGTGGGCGCCAGTCCCCTTGATCCTGGATTACCTGTTGGACCATAGGCTCCAGCATCTCTCTTCCTCTTCTATTAAGGTCCACCTAGCAGCCATTTCAGCCTTCCACCTAGGGGAAGGGGGGAAAATGTTATTTGCCATCCCTGTGGTCAACAGGTTCCTCAAAGGAATGGACAGACTCTATCCACATATCCAGCAACCCGTTCCTCAGTGGGACCAAAACCTGGTACTATCCGAACTTATGGGGCCCCTGTTTGAACCGCTAGCCACATGCTCCCTCTTCCACCTATCATATAAGGTATCCCTCCTAGTGGCAGTCACATACGCGAGGCGGGTATCTGAGCTTAGAGCGCTGACGTGAGATCCCCCCAACACAGTATTTTTTAAGGACAATGTTTGGCTCCGCCCTCACCCAGCCTTTCTGCCGAAGGTCATTCCACACTTCCCAGGATATTTTTCTATCAGTTTTTTTTACCCGAAACCGTATGTATCGGGAAAGAGCAAGCTTTACACACGTTAGATGTCCATAGGGTGCTAGCCTTTTATTTAGACAGGATCAAACCATTCCGAAAATCACCACAACTTTTTGTAGCCATCGTGGAACGCATGAGAGGCCAACCTGTATCCACTGAGTGGATCGCCTCATGGATACCCAACCGCCTGTATCAGGGAGCGCTACTCCATAGCGGGCATTTCAGCCCCGACCCTTAGAGCACACTCCACGAGAGCTGTGGCAGCTTCCACTGCTTTCAAAGCGTAGGTTTCCATCCTGGACATCTGTAGGGCTGCCACGTGGTCCTCGGTTCACATGTTTGCCAACCATTATGCGCTGTCCCATCAGGCCAGAGAGGATGCTGCCCTAGGTAGGGCGGTCCTTAACTCCTCTTTGGTTTCAACATCTGGCTCTCCACCTAGTTAGGTTCTGCTTTGGAGTCACCTATATTGGAATGCACATGAGCAATCACTCGAATAAGAAAGAATGGTTATTTATCTCGTAACTGTGATTCTTCGCGATGTGTTGCTCATGTCCATTCTAAATCCCCGCCCACTGCCCTTTATCTGGAATATGGTGGAAAGAAGGAACAGAGCGAGTGAGGGGGCCAGCAGGGGTATATATGGGCTGATATACTAGTGTCACTCCAGGGGACTCTGTGCTGTCCCTAAGGATACTGCTGAGAGAAAAGTCTCCGATGGCGCGCAGTGAGCAGTCTGAAGGAAGAGCACCCCAAGCACTCTGAGCGCCCCCTAGCTATGCACTCTAGCAACACTTTCCCTCTCTTTCTCTGTTTTCCTGCCTTCTCCATGAGCAAGGAAGAAGACTAATCAAAATGGAGGCTCACCTGTTTTGAACAAAACAAAATGGCGAACCCACAAATAAACAGTGTAAACCATTTTAGCTGAACCGAGTACTAAAAAGGTCTAACATTAATTTAAAAAAAAAAAAAGCCCACATTAACACCACCTCCAAATCCTTGATGGTAGATATGGTTAACAGGCATTTGCATGCTCATTCAGACAAGGAGTCTTAAGAGTTTAGAACTTCCCAGTTGGAAGAGCTATTCATCTGCTGTTTTTCAAATATTTGGGTCTTGATATAATAACTGTTGAAATCATATTTTGCCAAGTTCAATCATCTTATTGAACATCTGCTGCGAGAATAAAGGGAGCAATTTCAAGTCCTCATTTCAGAGTGTCATTTTATAACTAAAACTTCCCTGCAGGCCTCTCTTGATAGTGGGGCATGTTCTCATGATAATAACTTAGTAGCTAGGAGGCTTGCTGCAGTGTTCTCGCCTCCACAGGAAAGTTCAGAATACTGTTTTGAAGATCTTTTGACAAACTTAAGCTCTTCAGCAGGTGACACTGATGTCTTGCTCCATTCCCTCAGTCCCAGGATGTTGCTCCTCTTGCTTGGGATTCATGTACTTGGCACAAAAACATTCCTGAAAATCAGCTTAACATTTTTAATCCTTTCAGTTCTAAACATTACCAGGCTTATTCAAGTCCTGTGGAGCCTTCTAGAAAAAGATCCAGATCTCTGAAGAAGGGAGCCTCTTCTGTACTAACCTGTCAGTTTTCCTCTGAATGGTTTTGACAGCTTGATTGAGGTTCACAAAGCACTCTTTTCACCAGATCGTCTCAGTGTTTCTCTGGCCTAGAGTTGGGCTGACCTTTGGAGGTTTAGTCCATGCTCTTGAATGGTTAAAACCAACCCAAATATACATTGAAATCCAGCTGTTCTGGGTAAGCTCTAAGTTTAGGTCCTCCCTAGTGTTTCCTTGTCATTTGCTACAGAAGACTAGACATGTTCAATTTTAGGTAAGCTAAAAAATGACGAGTGGTTCTGTAGCACCTTAAAGACACCATGATCTTTTGTGAGCACAACCCACTTCTTCAGATGATGGATTAGAGAAGAAATGAAAGTGACAGGTTTTAACTTGATTTTGTTCTAAGTGTATTATATGTCATTTTATTTTTTTACATGTTATTTGGAGGGGACGAACAGAAAGACCAGTATCAAACTTAGTCACTCAACAATGTGTGTTCATTTAAACTTTAGCTCAGTTTCAGAATAAATTTATTTTATGAAGAAGGGCAGGGGCTGATACCTTAAATAATTTAATACATTATTTTGCAGCGCAACAAAGCATCGTCCTGATGTATCTTGCCTTTGGAAACTACTTGGAGATGCATGTACTCTTGTGCATGTTATTTCATCATCCAAAGTGAATGTTAAAGTTCTGGGATCCCTTATCGGTCAGAATGTAAGCAAACAAATGCTGAAGAAAAGCGAGCTCCTCAGTTTGGGAGGAAGGTAACAATCATAAGATTATTTTCTGTATCACTAAAATCTTAAATATTCAAGACACAAACTTCAAATACTAAATCTAAATATATTCAGAATATATATTTGGAAGTGATATGCATGGAATAAATTGCAGAACTTTGTGAAAAAGGCATTATGCCCCCTTTGACCATCACATCCTTCCCTTTGCCTCCTGTCAATTTTCTTACCAGAATTCATAACCTCAGAACAGTTTCAAAGAGCAATCTAACTTAAAAATGGTTGCCAAGGAGTACTAGCCTGAACTTAGCATAAAGGCTCTGACACTGTTTTCTACACCTGTAACTTGTTAGTGACCCTTTTTATTTGCCTCTACTTCAAAGCACCTCTGAAGGTAGGCTGCTGTTCAGTGATTTACTTTTAAATAGTATGAATGGAGATAAAACAGTTATATGATTCATGCTTCTGTAGGTGTTATGGCAGAGCATTAAAACTGATGTCCTTACCTAACACATGGTGTGATCTTGGAATAAACTACTATCGTCAAGCTCAGCACCTAACAGCAGCTGGTAGTGACATGAATGAGATCAGCGAACTGTTAGAGAAATCTTTACAGGTATTGCTTATATTTATGCCATCTTCAATGGTACTTTTTGATAGACTATCATTTTCAGGATCACTTTGTCCTCTGTGTAACCTAAAACTGCAACAAAACAAAAATGGTTAAAATCTAATATGACATTCCTTGTGCTATAACAACTCCCAGTTAATTCTCTTCATTCCAGTGTCTCAAAAAAGCCGTGAGGCTTGATAATAAAAACCATCTCTATTGGAATGCGCTTGGTGTGGTTGCCTGTTGCAGTGGTAAGTCTCAAGTGAAATCTCTAAAATTCTGTGCAGCCAAATCAGAGAGCATCTTGGCTACTTTTGTTACAAAATTAATCTTATGTCTTTTAGGTGTTGGGAATTATGCTCTTGCTCAACATTCATTCATCAAATCTGTGCAAGCTGAACAAATAGTAAGTGCTGCAAGGAACTACTGTCTGTTTCAGATAGGCACTCAAGATTCTCTTTTATTGAGCTGTTTTTGAACACAGTAATTAACTAGCTTTAATTTTTGTATTTAAATATTTTCTGTAGAATGTTGTTGCGTGGACCAACTTGGGTGTTTTGTACTTAGCAACTGAAAACATTCAGGTAAATTATTCTTTCTCCTCAAATGGTGGCTTCTTGAATATGTGTTGCTTTAATGCAATTCTAGAATGCTTGTTAACAGCAAAGTACACCTTCCTTTTAAAAGTAGAAGTATTGCCAATTTATAAAATTCAGTCTCTTGTGTACTATAACCATTATGCAGTTACAAGCAAAATCACATACTTGAATTGAGGTTTATTAAATACTGTTTTGAAGCAAGTGATTTCATTTAGGAGAATTCCTGTTAAATAGCACGTGTTTGGTTTTTCAGACAGTTGAATGAAATCAAAGTTATAAGGGACAAAAACTTCAGCAAACCAATCCAACATATATAGATTCTTCTTACCAAAAATTCAGTTGTAGTTTCTGCTCAGAGAAAGCCCGAATAACAAGAGTGCTTTTAAATTAAATTAAAATTTATTGAGACATGTATGAGAAAATTTGTCTGGAGGAGAGCATAGAAAGAAGCAGTCAAAATCCTACTTGCACAACTGAAACAGACCACTGCTTTAAAAAAAAAAAAAGAGAAACTGAGAAATTGTGATTTCTTAAATGAATTAGTAGTTTCAGAAGCTTTCAAAATTTGTTGCAAAGCCAGCAGCATCTGATTTTTTTTAAAATACAGGAATGCTGAGATTACACATTGTTTAATGTAAGATGCAGATATGGAAAATGAGTACTTCAGGACTAAGACTGCTACATTTTTTCTTGAAGGGAGAAACTTGTATTTCTAGCAGTGGCAGCAACTAAAAGATTGCATATATTTCCGCCCCTCCCCCATAGTAAATATAGCTTTTAATTACACAGGAGTAGGAGGGAATTTGTGGTGGAAGGTGGTGTGTTCCTGTTATTAAAGCGTGAGGTGGTACTGAAATGGTCTATGAGTATTGCACTGCTGTTCTATATGCCACATTGGATATTTTTAGTGGTAACTTGGTTATTTTTCCCATGTAAAGAGTTACACCATTGTTTCTGTATTTCATTAACTAGAACAGGAGATTTTTGGCTTATGGTGCCCAATGAGTCAGTTTAACATAACTGATCTCTTATGTGCTTTTTCAGCAAGCTCATGAGGCCTTCAAAGTAGCTCAGTCTCTTGAGCCATCTTACTTAATGTGCTGGATTGGACAGGTAAGATGTTAATATCTTTCATAGCATGGGCTTCAGTAGGTTTTAATAAGGTATATAGAATTTAGGCTCTGACCCAGAAAACCACTTCATGGGGATTTAAAAGTGTGTGTGTGTGTGTGTGTGTGTGTGTGTGTGTGTGTGTGTGTGTGTGTGTGTGGTTTTTTTTTTTTTTTTCCTTGAAACAGAAAAAGGCCTCTTAGATCTTCCTATTATTCCCTTTGGCTTTCTCTGAAGTTTCCACAAAGTGTTCTTGTCCATGAATCAACCTCAGTTTATTATCTGTTTTCACGGGTTTTTTTTCATAACTAATTTTTATAGCATATTACTATGCTGCTCCTTGAAGAGTGAAATTGACTGATAGATTATTTTCATGGTTAATGATAAACTCCTGTTTTCAGTGCTGGTATCACTGGTATCTCTCAGTTTCCGTCTGAATTGGGAAAAGTCAGTCCATAATGCTGCTAAAATAGAAGTACGGTAGTGCTATGGACCAAATCATGCACCCTTTGGTCATACAAATACCCTCAATAATGTCAATGGTACTGCTCCTAAGAACAGCAGGAGAGAAAAAAAACTTGCTTGTATAGTATTCAGTAATTTAGTCAGAAAACATAGTTCTTGTACTAGTGGTAGCTCTCCTACATTGAACATTAATTGTCCACCACTGTATTGTGTATTAAGAGACAAATTTAAGTCTTCATTTTCCATCTTGCAGGAGCAAAGATGACAGAGGCCTCTATAGCCATATGTATGTTATAGTCATGGAGGTGGTTGTGATTGTAATATTTGGCTGTACAAATGTATCCAAATTGTGAGCTCAGCTATAAAAACGAGGGGAAGGTCAGAAGATGTCATAATAAATATTGATGGGGGTGGGGGAGAAAGGGCAGGGGAAGGTGCAAAGGCAAAATGAGTGAATTAGTACAAATAAGAAGGCCTGCAGATAGGACTGTGTTGGGATCCTTCCTGATTTCAAAAAATTGTAAAAGTGGATATTATTAAACCACAATTGGTATTTCGATATTAGACCTATTTGGTGGACAGACACTAAGAGGATGAGCTATTGCATTTTGGGGCCCTTAAATAAATTCTTTGGGAGAAAAATTGGCTTTTAGAGCAACCTTCACTATCATGGTTGCCACTTGAGATCCCACAAGGGAAAAGGAAAGGAGGAGTATGGGTGCCATGGAGGTGGCCTTTGTAATCTTTCCTTACTGCCCTTCTAACCATGCATAATGGAAACTGAACTGTTGGGAGAAGTGGTAAAGATTTATATTATTGCTGTGCGCCTAAAATCTAGGTCATTATTGCGGGCCCCCATTGTGAAAGGTGCTCTCTAAAGAAAATACATGCTATGAAGGACTTGCAATGGTAAAGTTCTTTGTCTCATTTTATAGCTATTTCAAGTGGAGCAATCTGTTCCATTCTTTCATCTAAGTTTACACACTCTTCAGTAGCAATTTTTTATTGTTATAGCAGTAGCTATTGTGTGCTTGTATATTAAGGTTTTTATTTTTAAAAAATCCTATATTGTGAGATTATTGTGGTAATTTGTAATGTTCTTGGCTCTCAAGCAGAGCTTTAAGTAGGAATAATTAGGAAACTGTTATCTGCTTATAAAACAAATTAAGCAGCATTTTAAAACTTATTTGTAGGCTCTTATTGCAGAGACTGTAGGAAGCTATGAAACTATGGATCTCTTTAGGCACACCACTGAACTCAGTATGCATGTAAGTATTTGAACAGACCTCTCATTGAAGATTTCCAACGACTAGCCTTTTTCATACGAAGCAAATGCATATAATAAAAGTTTATATTTAATAAGTCAAAAGATTAGAGACCTATATCAGAATCTCTTTACCTCTTATGTTTTGTATTTTACTTGATGTAGCTTTTTATACCACTCATCACTGTAGTATTTGAGAACCTTCCTGTAGCACATTAAGGAATTGGACTAATGTGTTCAGAAAACGTGTTCATCGTGTCCTCTGAAGATAGAACAAGAAGCAATGGGCGTAAACTGCAGCAAGGGAGGTTTAGGTTGGACATTAGGAAAAAGTTCCTAACTGTCAGAGTGGTCAAACATTGGAATAAATTGCCCAGGGAGGTTGTGGAATTTCCATCTCTGGAGATATTTAAGAGTAGGTTAGATAAATGTCTACCAGGCATGGTCTAGTCAGTACTTGGTCCTGCCATGAGGGCAGGGGACTGGACTCAATGACCTCTCGACAACCTTTACCCAGGGGTAGAAAATTCTCTTTTGCTTCCAGAGTAGAGAATAGACACAAGTGATGACTTTTGTCCCTTTCACAATCTGCTATGACTGGATAAAACTTATTTTTACATTTATATTAAAAAGATGAATTATAACTGGAGTTGCAATAACTTAAAACACAGTCAAGTAGTAAAAGAAATTGCTGACGTGATGTTGTATCTAAATAACCCTGCATTGAAGATTAGTGTACTATAGAACCGAAAGATATTTTTTTGTGTATTGTTTGTTGGTTGAGCAGTTAATGACACCTGCTTGTGTGTTGGTGGTTTTGTTTTGTTTTTGAGACTGAGGGAGCAAAAGGCTATGCTTATTGGGTATGCTCAACGCTTCAAGATAAAACCAACAGGGAAACGGAGCTGTATCGGTACAACATTGTTCAGATGAATGCTATTCCAGCAGCGCATGTGGTTTTGAGCAAATACACAGGTAGGTAACACTTTTAAAAGTCAGAAGACTTCATTTGATATGTCAAAAGTTCGACTAAAATGCATATTCAGCATGAGTGTGACTTAGCTAGTTCTTAATCACTTTTGCCAAAATTGAGCTGGTTATGAAATATTGTGGTTGGGGAGGCTCTTCTGAGTCATGAAGCAGACAACCAAAATGTATTGTGTTTGTATATCTTTATTTTTGTTAAATGTATGCTTAATGAAATTATTCCAGTAAGATTAAGTTCTTTCTGACTCTCCTTACTAAAGAGAGAATATTCCTGAAGAGATGGGTAAGGAATGTAGGGTGAAGGCCTTGTCTGATTTGTCCTTGAATTATGCCACTGACTCATTTTGACTACTGAACTTGAGCTGTTGACAAGAGTGTCTAATATTGAGGTGAAATTTACATACAGTATAGACATTTGAGACTTGAACTATAGAATCCTAATATTTTTTAGTGTGGTTCATTTATAGAAGGTACTGTATTGGAAAAAGCTGATATTCTGTTCTAAGGAGAATTACAGTACTAGCATCCCACTTGAAGTTTTAAGTTGATACTTGTCAGTATTTCATGTTAAAAGAAAGGACTTCAGAGCAATACAACTGATGCTAAAACAGTGGTATTCAATTTATATTCAAGTCTACAAAAAATTGAAAATCTTCAGATGTCATTTTCCAAAAATATATATTCTCTGCAGTCAGTTTGAGAAATTTAAAATACATACTATTGTGTAAAATGGAACTTGTTTTTTGTGGGCAATAAGACTAATGCCATATGAATTACATTTTTTTCTTGAACTAATTTGAAGATGGGGTGGATTTGGATGGATATATTTTTTCATCTGTTGTGTGAAGGTTGTTAAAGTGACTCTCCAAGGACCTCAATGAGCATCTGATAGCTTTGAAAAATATGCCCTGCTGTAATATATTTCATCACATGTCTCTGATGCTTTTTCACTGCTCTTTCGTTGTGTGTGTGTGTGTGGTCATTTCCGGTCTTCCAGAAAGAATTCAAAAGGATGCATCTGCTTTCATGATGCTGGGTTATTTGAATGAATATCTGCAACTGAAAAAGCAGGCAACAGATGCTTATCAAAGGTAAACTATACACTGACTAGATTTAAAAAATGAAATGTGCGCTTAGGATGACACATGTTCCTTCCATAAGCACTGTTTGGTCAGTTTCCTCAGTGTATTTTAACTAATCCCATTTAAAAGGGAGACATTGGATGTCTGATCTGTTCCTAGCCCCTGTCACTGGGATGATAAAGGCTAATTGGAATGTAAAAAACTAAGGTAGACTATCTTTCTGAGAGTTCATTCATTAGACTTCAGCATGCAGTTTACTCATTCTTCAGAAAAGTGGAAATTACCACAGAATCTGGCAGTATATTGAATCTTTTAATATGACTTTGGAAACTAAATGTCATTGAATTATCGCTGTGGCAGGAAAACTGTTAGAACAACATGAAAAAACAGTTCTTCACAAAAAGACGGATAACATGGATGCAGTTATCCATGAACTGCATCAATTGTTCTGTAATTGTATTATTATTCTAGCCAATTAGCCCGTCATGAGACGGGATTTTCAGGTGTCTCCTCCACGTCGGTCTTCTCTCCTGAGCCTCCGGTCTCTCGCTCCATGTCTCTTTCTCTTTCTCTCCTCCTCCTACTGCCTCCCCCTCTCTCTCAGCTCTCCTCCGCCTTCTGCCTCTCTCCCCGTCTCTCTCTTTCTCTTCTCCCCCTCCTGCCTCTTACTCTCTCTCAGCTCTCCTCTGTCTCTGTCGGGGATGCACGCTCGTCCAGGCCCCCCTTTTCCCCTCGGACATGTACATCACCACCGCTCCCCGCTTCTTTGCCTCCTGCCTCTCTCTCCCCGTCTCTCTCTTGCTCTTCTCCTCCCCCTCCTGCCTCTCACTCAGGGGACCGCGGAGTCCAAACGGTCGCTTGCACCATTTGCTCCCATTTGGCGGCCTGGCTGAGCAGTGCAGAAGTCAGCCGAGTGCCACAGTGGGAGGCGAAGGATGTGACTTAGGCAACAGCGCCGCTCAGAGGGAACAGCCAGCATTTCAGCGTTACAGAGTCACAGACATTGGGCTCCTATATATATGATTATTATAATATTTTATTATTAAAAGACAGAACAACACTTCACAATGTACTCTGACTAGTCTCTCTCATCTTACTGAATCTTGAATAATCTTTCGTGTTCAGAGAAATAAAGGCATAAACTTCCAGACTTTTTATTGATACACATTTACAGTATAACAATCATTTGGGTGTTCCTGTGGGCATATTAGTGAATTACTTGTTCTTTATGTTCACTTTCAAGGGCGGTCTCATTGCTGAAGAACTCTGAAGATAAAGAGAAGTATAACATAGCAATGCAAAATTATGGTAGATCACTCTGGTAAGCAGTGTTTGGGGTTTTTTTGTTACCTCTTGCAATATCGCAGTACTACTTTGAGTAATTCCACCACAGATAAATGAAAGCCATATCTTTCATTTAGTGGATACTTTGTCAGATAGTAAAATACTCATATTTAACTTTCATTTTATCATACACGGTGCAAAATGTATACATCTCTGAGCTGAACCCATAATCATGCCACAGTTAGGTTTAATTTAGCATTGTTTGTCTCTATTTATGTAGTTTGCAGGAGGCGGTTCAAACTCTCTTCTTAGGTTTTCTGTCTGCCATCTGATTTGGAGTTTATTCCCTTTCTTGTGGCAGATAATCCAGTTTGTAGTGTGTTTGTATGTGGTCTCTACTTCTTAAGGCAAAAATTTGTTGTGTTGAGATTAGTAACAGTTCCAGGAGGTTGCCCATTTTGGAGTCTGAAGTTAAGTGAGAAATCCTGATAGACTGGCATCTTGTTGCTAGTATTCCTGGGATAACGGTGCTCTGTAACAGCGCTGTGCTATCGTTTTGACCTTTGGGGTCATGCTGATTGACTAGAACTAGTTCTCCTGAACAGCACTATTGCACAGATTATTCTACATTTTATGGTGTCTGCCTCAGTCAGAAGCATGCATACTTTCTAGTCCTTTGATTCCATCTCAGAGGTATAGTATGGAGAGAATCTTGGCAATGGAGGACAGTTTCACACTGCTTCTTTTGTTGTGGCTTAAGTCCTGGTGAGAGTGTTTTTGAAGTAAATGTTTCTGATGCAGGAAATAACTATCTCTGACCTCAACATGAGTGATAGAACCAGTGCCCCCATTCTAGAAGTCATGTCTTCCTATGATACTTAATTTCTAAGAGGATCTTGATAGACTAAAGAGATTCACTTTGAGCATCACAATACTTTTATTAGCCTCATTCCGAGTTGTATGTGAGTTTGGTCATTTCCAGAAAGAATTCAAAATATTGCAATCTTTTTGTAAGTATACAAAGTTCCCATGATTATTAATTCATTTTATTAAATAGTCCTGTTGCATTTCTGCTGTGATAGTCCTATTCATAGCAAGATTGCCGGATTCATTCTTCCTCTTCCCCCATAATGATCACTAGGCAATATCTTTGTACCACACTATTATATAATTCCCTGGATTGTATGTGTTTAATTGATTTTAATATTATCGTGTTCATGTTGATACAAATGTCAGATAGTTAGCTTGTTAGAGCTGTATTTATTTTGTGAATGTATTTCTGAGCTTGTAACATGGACTTGAAACTTTAATGTAAGTGAAATGGGATTGCAAATATCAGCATTAACAATTAGTCCATATTCACGTAGAATACAGCTTTTGCAGGAACAGGTTGGACCTCTCTGCTCTGGCATGGTCAGGACATATTTTTCTCTCTCTTTTTTTTAAAGTGCTATAGGTCAGTATGACAAGGCCATCCAGGCTTATATGTCCACTCCTCTCACAGAGTTAGATGGCATCATAGGAGTTGCACTAGCTTATTTCAGGAAAGGGCTTTTACAAGACAGCATTAAAGGTAAGTGTTGGTGTAAACTAAAGATGTAAATAACCATGAAAATAGTTAAATGGGTAAAATTATACCAGTTAACCAGTTATCCTTTGGCAAGCAGGTGGACCGCAGCTGGGGCTGGGTTCCTGCCCAGTCTTCCGAGCCATGTCAGATGGGCTAGGGTCTTGCCAGGCTGGCCCAGCATGGTGCATCTGACGTCAGGGGCCTAGCACTGTGTGAACCAATACAGTTGGGAGCTGGCCTCGCTGCCCAGACTGCCCTAGCATGACCAAGCCATGGGAGCCATCACAGGTGCTGTGCTGCCTGCTTGCCCCACATGTCCGGCTGGATTCAGCCAGGGTTGCTCCAGCCTGGTGTGATTGGCCATCCAACTGGTTGCCCATAAGCAGTCTGATAAGCTGAACACTCAACATCTAACCAGTTACACAGTCAGCCTTTTCCATATCTAGTTTAAACAAAGGTAGAGTACATGGCCTGATACTTAAGGAATATGGCATTTTCTAGATGAACACTTAGCCCTTTTGATTTGGTACATCTCATCAACCAAATTCTGTCTCAGCTTATGCACACGTTGGGACAGTATGGGGTATGTAAAAAAGGCAGAGAATTTTCATTTTTATATAAAATGCATCATAATTATCAGACTGTTGCTGAGGTGCCATGAGCTATTGCAGTTGTACTAGAAAAATATCTTTTACATATCAATTGACATCTTCAAGGCAGGGCACTGTGGAAATAGCAATATTTGCTTACTGTCTCTCTCTACAGTATGAGAGGCTAGGAAAATTTTAGCTTTCACATTGATGCTGAATATCTTAAACTTTCAAAGGTGGGTTTTTGCTGTTTGGGGTGAGGAAATTTTGAAGCGTTATGTAGAAAAGGAATGTGTTCTCTTGTTCCTTTATCTGTTTTCAATCATTTTTATCGTTCATTACATATGAAAATTTAGGTTTCCAAGTCAAACACTCAGAAGTCAGGAAATGCCAGATTTAGTTGCATGTCATTGTACAATCTTAATTCTGTTCCTTTGTGTCCAACCTGTAAACTGAATGTGTAAGGAGCCTATGGGGAAAAATGTGTGTAACCTTGTAGCTAAAAACTCTAAAAGTGCATATACATATCTTTCTCTTACCATTCTAGAATGCTTTTAAATCTCTTGGTTGCTTTTTAAACATTCCTGTCTTAATTTAATATCCACAGCGTATGAGAGAGCCCTGTCTCTTGCTGAATCTGAGCAAGACAAAGCCCATATCTTGACAGCCCTTGCAATAATTGAATACAAACAGAATAAAGTGGATCCGGCAAAGACATTGCTGTTTAAATGGTATGTTGATGGTTATGTATACGTGACAGAGAAATTGTCAGAAGTTGAAAGTATTGTTAGGTGCTTTACCTTGGAAATTTGTATTGGACTTGCTTATTTTAGCCCCAGAGTAATAAGGAACAGACACTGAAGGCAGCTTTTAAGTTTATCTAAGAGGTGGTAATGTGTCTACCAATAATACTTAGCTACTCAACAAATGTAAAGATTGTTGTGTATGTCTAAAATGTGAGGTTTTTTAAATTTAAACTAAGATATTGTTCAAAACTTAATTTCCTATTTCAGTTACATTGCTTGCAAATAAGTTCCAGGTTCAGATTTTAATTTTCTTTGGAGAGTATAAAAGACTTCCATTCTTGAAAAAGCATGTTTGTGTGGTGTTCAGCTACAAAAAAAATTAACTTTTCTTAATCAACGTTTAATTTAATTAAATCCTCCTGAGTATACTGTTCTAAGCACTACTCAGTGCCATGGCATTAATTTATAGATTTCACTTAAAGATCACCATTACTGTGTACCTTCTGCATTTTATAAGTGTGGGGTTTTTTTGTTTGGTTGTTTTTTTTAAAGTCTTTAAGTACTCTGATTAAATTGCCTGCCTGTGACTGGGCAATTGGCAGACAGAAATTAGCCTCTATCATTGCAAACCCTAATGGCAGGTGTTGAGTAGACAGGCTGACATTACTTTCCCTATTTACCAAAGAGTACTGTGTCAAAAACATGGCCATATTGACCATCTCTATCTTCCCAGCAAATTCTCAAATTACTGAAAAGATTGAGGTCTTCGACCTGGTGCTTTAAATCCTGAGGCAATTGGCAGACAGAAATTAGCCTCTATCATTGCAAACCCTAATGGCAGGTGTTGAGTAGACAGGCTGACATTACTTTCCCTATTTACCAAAGAGTACTGTGTCAAAAACATGGCCATATTGACCATCTCTATCTTCCCAGCAAATTCTCAAATTACTGAAAAGATTGAGGTCTTCGACCTGGTGCTTTAAATCCTGAGTAATTGAGTTAGTCATGGTATTGTTCTTTCTATTTTTAACGTACAGCTCAACAGTGAGTGCTTCCTACATAACATTAGTCACTACCATTAAAGAAAACTAGTAAATGCTCTTGAAAACGCATCATTTTTAGCTGAAAGCATGTAAAATTGCAAAGTAAAAATCTGTCAAGACTACATTTTATTGTTGGGTTTTATACCCATACAGTGGACTGATGGCAACATAAAAAGCCTACAAAATTTGACATAATTAAACACATTTGGTATCTATAGGCTAATCTTGTGTTTGTCAGAAGAAAGAAAAGGTCTAAAGTTTTACCTATTCTTTTGTGCTTTCTTTTTTTAATAAGTGATTTTTTTCATCTTCATTTCACAACATTTTGTTAAGATGGTGGAGGATTGTTTTTCTTCCATTGACCAACAACACAACATAGAAATAGAATATTTAATTTTTGGCCACCACTGAAATAAACAGTACTAAAACAAGACAATAGAACCAATATGTTTAGGAACCTATTCATATTCCATTGCTAAATTACACCAAGCAGCATCTCCTTTATATTCATATTTATTTCCAATTTAGGATGTGATCACCAAATAGATGAATTTTCATCTCATTCTGACAGTTATTTGTTTTCTTTTCATTTGATCAGATGATACTACATCAGTAATTTTCTTTTATATCAGAACATCTTGAATTTTTGCAATTTCTTGTTATGTTTTAGGGTTTTTTGCATCATTTCCCCCCCTATAGCTCTCTCACATCTTCATGGAAAGCAGTTCTGCTTCTGCATTACTACTACTTGGAGCTTTCTATAAAATTACTAGATAACTATTTTTGTACTTATTTAAATAGCAATAATTAAATGTTTTCAAAATATTCTTTTTATAGAGGTGAAAAATATTTTAAGTAAAAGCCATTACTCCATTGGGCTCTGATTCTGTATTCCAATTTTTCCTCTGAATTGGTACTAAAGTTTCAACCAACAGTGGCTAATGTGCATAATTTAATTGTAATTTTCTAGTCTCCTTGAACATCTTAATGGAAAGTGTAGTGCATACAGTTATGTATGCGCAACAACAGAAATAATCTACTGACTGGACTGCAAATTCTCTACCCTCTTGATTCCTGTTGCCATAGCATGGAGTTGCAATAGTCATATTGGTATTTATGCTATAGGGCAGACTACTAAAAATGACAGACATGTAAATATTCCCTTCCCTCTTTACTTTTTTTAACGGGGAAATGCACATATCCTGCATGTTGAATGCTGGTTCTGTGCTGATTGTATTACTCAACATATCTAATTTTACTTAGATTACCTTGGAAAATTATATAGGGATTCTACAGCAACCTGAAACAAAATCTGATATAAGGAGGAATTATTTGCCTGGCTGAAATCTGATCCTTTGTATTCTAGGGAACCAAAATCAAAGTTTTCATAATAGTTATTTACATCAGATGTCATCTTGCCATACCCTCACAAAAGTGGGAGGGGAGCAAACCTTTTCTCAGTCAGATTGCTTATTGTAAGTAATTACTGAGAAAGTAGATGCCTAGGGTTGAGGAAATAGGTCTCCATTTTTTATGGCTACTCTTTTTAAACAAAGATAACTAAACGTGCCTGATTCTTGCCAACCAATAGTTATGAGCTTTAAAAGCTGAAACCGACATAAATCATTGTACTTAACCCATCGGAAGTATTTGAGAATATTGATGTAGGATTGAGTTTGAGAGTCCCTTGATGAAAGGCTGTTAATTCAGTGCACCACATTATTATTGCTGGATTAGGAATTGAACCATCCTGTGAGCCAAAGAGAATTTTTTTTGTTGCTCTGAAGAAAAGGTACACTACTTAGAACTTGGAGTGAATCTTGTAAGTAAATTGCTGTTTCTTTAATTCTATAACGTGTAGAAGTAGACAATCCTGCAAACTATACTTGAGGTCAGTATTATATTACATAATATTCTGTTTTCCATTGAATTTACAGCTCTCTATTAAAGGAACCTATTACAGAAAGTCTGCAGGCTCTGTGCACTCTAGGTCTGATAAAACAGGATGTTACACTTGCAACAGCAGCACTTAAAGAATTACTGAAGCACACAGAAAGGAAGGATAATGTTTATGAGAGATGCCTTATTACAGCTGCTGTGTATGCACTGCAAGGTAGAAATGTGGGAGTGCAGAGGCAAGCTTCCAAAGCAATCCATAGGTAAGTAGTCTGCACTACAGTAGATTCATAGATCCCTCAGGCTTAATCTAGTGTAATCTTAAATGGTTTCTTAGGTAGTTCATTCTGTTAGCTAAATGTATTTTTTGATTAACTTAAATGGAGTCTGGGTTAAGTTTCAAGCTGTTGCTCTTGACTAGTACACTAATAACCACTAACTTGTATTATCATTTCTCAAATGTTTCAGACAGCTATACTATTATTCTCTTTCCAGATTCTTAAGTTCACTTATCCCAGATCCCATAAGGAGGTTTCTGATCTTTAATAACATGTCCCTGTTTGCGTTCTCCCTAATGTATCCTTTATTCTGTTTGTAAGCTATAATTGTTTGACTGTTCACTTTAAGTCACTGTCTATAGACGCTCTGCATAAATTCTTTTAAGAAGACTGCAGATGTGAGGGTTGCTTTACAATAGCAGGTGTGAAAATAGATGCCTACCAAGTTATGACAAGCAAGATTCACATAAGTACATCTTTATAGGAAATGCAAATCTGAATACCTTTACTCTATTCTGTAGTAACCCAGATGATCACGCCCTTTGGTCTCTTCTGTCTCGACTCGTTCCTGTGTATACACCCCAAAATGCAAAAGTAAGTCTGTTGCACTGATCATGTATTGCTAAAAAACACATATTTATATTTGAGTAGAGTTCAATAATTAAAAACCTGATTTTAATATGCTATTGTATAATGATATACAAGAACTATTATTATTGCATTCCCAATTGCATCTCTGAGAAGTTGAAGGCACAGCTATCTTTCTTCGGTGAGTGCTTCAACAAAATAATTAACAGCACTATTCATCAGCTTGGAAAAAAAAATACCTGTGTGTGTAAAATTAGTGTATTTCTGATTAAGTTCAAGATCAGAAATATGATCCTATTATTTCAACATTTCTTGCTAACCTCTGCATTGAACAATAGTGATGTAATCTGTTCAATATTTACCTTGTAGGGTGGAGCTGTGGCAGGAAATGTTGCTCATATACTTGATTTAAACCACGGAGAGGTTTGTTTTTCATATCAGAATTCTTAAGTAAATAAACCTAAAGTGATCATATTTTGGTTTTTTATAAAATAATATTGAAGCATTCTAATGTTTTCTGGTCTTCATGTATAGAAAGCCCTGCTACATACTGCAGTAAATCAGTTGGCGGTGGGATGTCATTCAGCTGAAGACAAGAAAAACAATGCACTGAAGGATATTCAAAAGGCAGTCCATCTTTTTCCAGGTGATTATTACTTTATCACAGTCATGCTAAGTGTTTTTTTCACTTTCAAATTCTATTTGTTAGGCTGGCTTTGATTAATGTTCCAGGGCAAGTCCATTATTTAAGTAAAATAGAACTAACTTTCCAGAAACTGTTTAAACACATCAGGATAGCTAAGTGCTGAATTTGAGGCTCACACTGACGACAGTGGAAATTTAATTTCCCAATAGGAGAAGAAATAGGTGATGGAGGTTATTGTGGTTTCACACACCAGTCTCAAAATTCAGACACTCAGTGAATTATAACTTCTTGTGCAGACCACGAAAGTCCTATTAATGAATTTGAGTTGGGATTGCAAATACTGTTAATATAATGCATGTTGGTTAGTATTACAGTCTTGTTAGGCAATTTTCATTATTATAGTAAATGCATAGCTATTAGATATTGTGAAATCAGGCACTCGGAAGTCAAAATACCAAAATGTTAAATTTCTTCTATGATGTAGCCTATACGCAGAATTTTGTTTTGGAAAAAACTCAGCTGGAATAGTTCAGCTGGGTAGGAGAAAATACATTTTTCCCATTTAAAAGAAAATGCTGATACCAGTGGTCAGGATAGCACTGGCATCGGTGGGCGACAAAAAGAGACGGCAATCTGTGAAGATCTCTGGGAAAGCAGGGGCACAGGGGACACTATTGAGAAGACTTGCCCCTTTGACATCTGGACACTCCTGGTCCCTCTAGGCACTGGTTGAGGTTGACACAGCCAAGAAATCTGGTCCAGGAGAGGGCCCTTCATATAGTCAGGCCGTCAACCCCTGAGACTTTTGATGCCGCGAGGGAGTTGATTGAGCTTACCTCCTTGCCCTCTCTTCCCCCGCACTGGAGTCGGCACCGAGACAGGGCAGACACTCGGTGCAGATGAATCTACTGCCCTCTGCTTCGGTGACCTCATTGGCACTGGGGGCCTTGTTGGCACCGAGTACATACTTGACAACGGTGGCCTCATTGGCACCAGTAACTGGCAGCACTTGGTGGCCTTATCGGCACCGATAACTGTGACAGCACTGGTGCCCTTGTCAACACTGGCGGCATCTTTGGCACTGGGCCAATTGGTACCAGGAGACAGTATGGACCGGCATGTGGCAGCGGCACCGTATCAGCTTAGGACCAACCACAATCCCTTGCAACCTCCCAGGTGGCAGACCCAATTCAGGACCAACTGGTGATAAGAAAAGAAAAGATTACCCGCTCTCCTCTCAAACACCTCAATTAAAGTTCACTTGGCAATGATATCAAGTGAGCACTCCCAAATAGAAGGACACACAGTCTTTGCTCACCTGACTACAAAAAGGTTCTTGAAAGGACTCAAAAATGTATTCCCTCTGTTTAGGCAAACACCACCTTCCTGGGACTTAAACTTCATCCTACCAACGTTGACAAGACTTCCCTTTGAACCAATGATGACTTGTACACTTTTATATCTCTCAATAAAGATTACCTTCCTCGTAGCCATCACCGTGGCAAGAAGAGTTAGTGAGATCGCTGCACTCATGGCTGACCCTCCATTCATTATTTTTTTTTTTTATAAGGATAGGTCTCACCCAAAATTTCTCCCCAAAGTGGTTTCTCCATTCCATATTAAAAAAAACAATATGCTTACTTGCGTTGTACCAAATGCCTCTTCCAGATGCCAGTGCCTCTTGTCTTCACTCCTTAGACTGTCGTGCATTAGCCTTCTACCCAGAAAGAACAAAACAGTTTAGACATTCTCCTAGACTGTTTCTATCTATTGCAGAGCATTCCAAAAGTCAAGCTGTTAACAAACTAAGACTCTCCAAATGGATACTCAACAGCATTAGGATATGCTACTCAATCAGCAAAGTACCACTCCCAGACCAAATAAGAGCTCATGTCACTAGAGCAGTTGCTACCTCTACTGCTTTCCTTCACAGTGTTCCTATCCCAGACATTTGTAAGGCCACAACATGGGCTTCAGTGTATACCTTCACAAAACATTATGCCCTAGATATGTATGCCTCACAACACACTCAGTTTGGGTTGGCAGTGCTATCTGCCACTCTCACTAAATGTCCGAAGTCCCTCCTTCCAAATTCTCAGGGTACTGCTCCATAGTCATTTACAGTGAAGCATCCACAGGGACACTCCTCAAAGAAGAAAAAGAGGTTACTCGCCTTGTGCAGTAACTGGTGTTCTTCGAAATGGGTGTCTCTATGGGTGCTTCACGTTCCTCCTTCCTCCTCTGCTTCAGAGTTTGAACATCTCTCTGTGGTAGAGATGAACTGAGGGACAGTTGACAACGCGTGCACGTTGGCACACTTGTTAAAATGCGCGACAGCACTGTGAATGCGTGTCAGCACCCAGGGTACTGCTGCTAAAAAAGATCCAACTATATGTGCAGGAGTGCTGAGATACCTACAGTGGAGCACCCACAGGGACACCGATCTCAAAGAACATAGTTACTGTACAAGGTGAGTAACCTCTTTTTTTCTTCACAAATTTTTGTAGGGATTGGGGAGGAAATATATTGCCATAACCTCTGAGTGATGTTTGGAAACAATACTGTAAGTGCAGAGTTTAAGTATGTAAAATTTCATCATAACAAAACAAAATAAACTATATTTCCTGGAGCTTCTTGAAACTTTTTCTCCCTTGTAAACATTTAACATGTAGCCTTATCTAAAAGGGTTTCCTTAGACCAGTGATATCTCTGTTAGTACACAAAATTTCTTAAGCACTGGATTCCAGAGATGCTCTACGAATTATTTGGAGGAAGTTCTTTGGCCTATGTTGTACAGGAGGGATCATAGTAATCCCTTCTGACCTTGAAATCCCATAAAGTATTTATTTTCTAACAAGTCCATCATCAATATGACTGCCTTATTTTGTGCTTACTCACTCATAAAACTGTAAGTTCTGACCCCGGAATATTTATCAGTAGTTGTGATGCATGTCACAGAAATAAAAGCTTGACTTTGCAATCTCCGGGAGTTTGCAGAGTTGGCTGCTAAGGAATGTGGAGTCTTCAGGATTTTTATCCTATATGTAAACTGAGATATGTGTGTTTTAGCCATTAATATGAAAAATGGAACTCTGCAATATAATTTTAATCACTTTCCAGAATATAACTGCACATTAAGCCATTACCTCTTTCCTGTAACTGTGCTTAAAGTGAAATATACAGGCATTCCCTGACTTACGTGGATCCGACTTATGTCGGATCCGCACTTACGAATGGGGCTTTTCTCACCCCGGAGCTCACGGGTGACAGGTCGCCACCCGTGTCCTCTGGGGCGAGAAAAGCTTCTCCCGGTCTCCCTGGCCTGGGAGTCCCGCTGCCTGGGCGGCTTTGCTCCTGTCCCCCTGGTCTGCTGGGGGGGTGGCGGCTTTGCTCGGGTGTCCCTGGTCTGCTGGGGGGGTCCAGCGGCTTTGCTGGACCCTCCCAGCAGACCAGGGAGACTGGGAGAAGCTTTTCTCACCCCGGAGGACACGGGTGGCGACCCGCCGCCCGTGAGCTCCA